AAAAAAAATGTATTGCTTGACATATTCGATGCACAACATTTCAAATGATTCTCTTTGGCTTCTCGTTAAAGTTTGATGAGAATCTTCTCTTTATTTAAGGCAGTTTATTTATTTATATGCGCGGAATAAAAACACTCGAAAGTGCGTCTTGTTACATTGTGAAACTGTCAAACGTCATCACCCTGCGCCTCCGCTCAGTCAGGCTAAGGGACAAACCAGTGATGTGAGGCTACATGTGAGGCTCCGTGTCTCTTCAGTATGAGTTGGAATTGAAAGCAGACTCAGTGGAAACATGTCTTTGTCTCTATCGCGCTGTGTCTGCAGGATTCTGTCGCGACCGAGCTCCGCGTCGAGGTAAGTGTGATGAGAACTGAAGTTAGCTACCCGGAGCTAACGCAGCTAGCTAAGGTTATTGAGTGGTGTCAGCTCTGTGCTCGAGCGACACACAGGTTCCTTCATTGCATGTTGTCTTCCCAGCGTCCTGTCTGGAGAACCCATCCATGTGGTCTCCAGGAGTCCTTGGTTTGCTCCGGTGATGACACTGAAGACATCCGCTCCACTGAGGTGAGATCAAGTTAAAGGAAACACACTAGTGAAAACATCACAAGGATTATTTTACATTCTATTTCTGCCCAAACCTAAATCTTACACACTGAAGCTTTAATCAAATATTTTGATGGTGAGTATCATAGTTTCAGTTTTGTTCCAAGTCAGCAACAAAGAAATCGTTATTAATTATGAAATCATTATGACAGTTAAAAGCCCAGACAATGTCTTGTTTCTGACACAGTATCAGTGTTTTTACTTCTTGTATTGTACTGTTATATGTACTGTTATATTTCCCAGATCTGTGTCAACATATTCCTTGTGGTTGAAAGTGCTCACATAGTGCTGTGCTTGGTGTTCTGTGCTGTAGAGCGGAGCCCAAGAAGAAGAAGAAGGTGGACCCAAGAAGGGACCAGTTATTGAAAGAACGGATGAAAAAGAAGCTGAAGAAGCTGGAGAAGGTTCCTCCTGAATATATCCCAATAGAGGATTTCATCACTCCAACCAAATGTTTGGATGAAACAAGGTACGTCATATTTCACTGGTTAACTGGTTAAATGTATGTTGTGTTGAGGCAGTGCTGCCCTAACCAGTGTTGGGTGTGGTAACAGTATTCTTCAAAGAATAAGGCCGACAGTAGAATTCTTTTACAAACAGAAAAAGTATTGCCTTTGTGTTGAACTGATGTAACCTATTT